GGTACTGGAGAGAATAACTCTTCAGAAAATTTTAATAGTTTAAATAATTATTACAAAGTCTAATAAAGTGAAGGCAAAACTGCCGAATTATAAAAAAAAAAAAAAAAATAATAATAATAATAATTATTATTAGTATATACGAATCAGTATTTCAAAATTAACAAACCTGTTCTATATGTAAAGTTATTATAATCTATCATTTATTTTTCTTAGGTTACCATAATGCAATTATATATTAAAAAATTTAAAATTAATAAAAAATATAATTATTATAATTATTATAAACATTTATAAAATTACTAATCCAGATTGTTGATATAATTTTTAACTTTAAAGACAGACCTATCTTCAGACCACATTCTCTTAATTTTGCCATTTTAGTTTTAAAAAAGTGTCTGAAATAACCTCCTCTTCTTGTAATCTTGTATAAAATTTTGTTGCTACATTTAGATCCTTAAATGCTTTATTATTTTTAAGAAGCTCTACAAGTGCCAAAGTGTTATCTCTAATTTGTGTTTTGTTAGAGGTTTTTTTTTTCCCTTAATGCTTTGATTTTTAGCATTTGTCAAAGAGCACTTTCTATTTTTTGTAAGATTATTATTAGATAGTAATAATTTCTGAAAGTATAGTATAACACTTCCAAGATCCTTATTGTTAACAATACAACACTTGTTTTCAAAATTTTGATAGAATTCTTTAGCATCAGAATCCAACTTGAAATGCAAATAGCCAAAGTTGAAATTTATTTTATTTTTAATTTTCTTATTTTTTTTTTTTTAGTTAAAATTTTAAAGAAATAATAAATTTAAACTTACTTATTTTCAAGTCTCTTTAGGACATGATCTATCTTATTAGTTTTATCTAATAGTTTGACTAAATCTCTAAATTTTTCTGAAGTAATATTTGCTAAAGGACCACCCACAAAAACTAACCATGATGGGACAACACTGTTTTCTTTTTTTGAATGCTTGAAACATTTTGACCAACAAAATTATAAATTCTCTTTAATATATCGATTTCTTTGTTTTGTTATACAAATATAATCGACTTTTTCAGATTCCAAAATGGTGGCATATGATTTTTTTGTTTCTGAATATTTTCAATATAAATATTCAAATAGCATCGTTTGTTTGATATCGTATATATTAAAAAATTTCTTCATATAGTCAAAATTATCTTTTATTAAAAATATTATATATACCTATATTTAAAAAGCATGTTTTTATTTTTATATGCATATATGCATGCCTGATCTTTATCAAACAATAAAGCCAAATACGTACATATCATTCTATTCTTTCGAAGAAATTATTCGAATGGACCAAACTTATCTATATTGGATTACTACATCACAAGATATCACAATTTAACTAAACATATTTTAATTGTCATTTTGTATAGTAGTCTAAAGGCTCTGATTATGGATTGTATCCTACATTTATATAGAAATTAAAATGTTCTTATATTTTTGTTGGCAGGATTAGTATGTTGGATATTACTTTAATGTATTGTACATTTTTATCAGTTTTCTTAATAGTATACATAAAAATTCTAAAAAAATAATTCAATCTTTATTAATATATATTAGATTTTATATTAATATAATTAAATACAAAATTACAAAATGAATAAGTTTCAATATATAAAACAACTTTAATAAAGATGTTGGTTAAGAATCTAAAAATAAAATCTTTTTCCAATTGTTTTTACATCAATTTTTTGACAATTAGAAAGTGCTAAACTATGATTTGATGATTTTTGAGTTTCAAATGATGGTTTATAAAATATTCAAAGTACTGTTTACACATATATGTAATAAAATAATAATGCTAGTTATACCGGCTATCTGCCAAATTATACTGTAGTGAGAATAATTTAATTTTCAAAAGTGGGTAACAATTGCAATCCTATAATCAGCTTAGTAGTACATATACGTATAACTTTAATTTAACACAAAGAAATACATACATGCGTACACATGTGCAAGCTTATTATATAATACATTTGAATACCATACATAGTAATTTTAACTATGCATTGTTTATTACTAGAAAATTGCTTATGCCTCTAGCACATGTTGAAAAAGATTTTATTACAGAAGTTTGATTGGATGCATGATATACTATCACCAATTGGATAAAGTAAATTATACTCGAGAAAAAAAATGTATTTCAAATATTTTTTTCAAATATTTTTTTATTTTTTTTTTAAGAGTTTAGAGATTAATGCAAACTTTTAGTAGTTTTAAAATTAACAAATTTTTTTTGTTTTCTTGTAAATCAGAGAATCATGCAAACTTAAATTTATTTTATATACATTTTTTTGTTAATGAAAACAATTTAAATATGAAAAAATAAATTAATTTAAATATGAAAAAAATAAATTTAATTAAGTACAAAAAAAATTAATTTAAAAAATGAAAAAAT